TGCAATTGCGAATAAAATCTGCTTTATCAGAGATACCGTCCTAGAAAATTATTTGGATATTTCCTACAGGCGGACAGCAGCGCGACCCGATGACGACGCTCCTCTCCATGGCCGCCTCTCACCAGGACGCGGCCACCGGCAGGCAGGAGGGCGCTGCGGCAGGCTGCGAGCTAAGAGGCAGGGAAGCGATCCCGAAGGAGCCTTGCAGGGCCTCAGGGGGGGCTGCCACGTAGGGCTAGCAGTCTGTGTGAGGGGTGATGAAGCTGAAGCCGGAGCCGTGCCCGGAGCCCACCGCTTACCTGGGGCCACATCCAGCGCGGCGTTAGCGGTCTCCAGGCAACCGCTCCGCCGAGCACTCTGGGAGCGGTAGTTCGGAGCGTTGGGGAGGCTGTACGCCTTTTAACGCCTGGGGTGGAGGCGGCAGCGATTCCGCCGTAAATCAGACGGGAGGGAGGATTATGTTTGGGTTGTTTTTTCCAAAGCTAACAACAGAGCCCGCTCAAAATCGCGTATTTATGTCTGCGCACACCGCGGACCCGAACTGCTGGAGTTTCAAGGGGCGTTTGGACGCCGGTGTCAGACGACATAGGGTTTGGATTTCGGGTGATCCTCTGTGGAGGCAGGAGCTGGGCTCGGCGATCCCTGTGGGTCCTTTCCAACTTGGGTATTCTGTGGTTCCCCCCAGTAGAAACTGGAGTCGTGACGCAGGGCTGCCGCTGTCAGGGAGGGCTCCTGCTCTACAAGGCAAAGGGTCAGAGCCCTTACCCTCCCCTCTGTGTACTTGGGGAGTGAAGCTGAGCACACCCGCTGCCGCCTTCCAGCCTCCAGGTAGCTGCCCTGCCACCCGAGCATAGGCTGCCAGCCAGGCACAACCTGTGCGTGTTTACATGTCTACCGATAAACACGCATCCTGGAGCAGGTTTCTGAAGTTGGGAAGCGGCGTCCTCCCCGCTTGCAGCAGGGCACGAGAGCGGAAGGGCAGGAAGGCGCACCTGCCCATGGCAGAGGCCTCGCCACGGGCCCGGGAGGGGAGAGAGGGAGCGAGGGGAGGGGACTGCCGCGGGCGGCGGCGCCCGGCTCTGGGACAGGTGCCACGGGAAGAGGAGGGCCTGTGGGCGCGGCGGGGTGGCCCGTCGCGACGGCCCCGGGCGGGAGGAGGAGACCGCGCCATGGCCCGGTGCGGGCGCTGCGGGCGGGCGCCGCCGCTGGCCTGGCTACTGCTGGCCTGCCTGCCGGCCGGTGAGTGAAACCGCGCGGCGGAGCGGGGCCGGTCCCCGCCCCTTGACACCTGTACGGAGCGGGGGCCAGGAGGAGCCCTCGGGGTGAGGGCGAGGGGAGCGGCCGGGATAAGGGGCGGCGGGCCGGGCGAGCGACTGCGGTGGCCCGCCTCGTTTCCTCCTGGGGCAGGTTTTGAGGCGCCTGCCCCAGCCCTGCGCCTCGCCCGGGCTATCCCGAGGCAGCATCGGGAGGGCCGATCCGCGCGTGGCTTCGTTACCCCGAGAGTGAGGCCCGTGTCTGGCCGAGGAGGAAGTGGCCCCCTGCTTCCTGGTCGCCTCCCGTGTCGCCTGTGTACTGCCAGGTTGGTTTGGGCCTGAGCGCGGGAAGACACACAGCGGTCCCTTCTGGCTTGTCCACAAGTGCCCGAGCCGCGTTACGATCTGATGTGACTGCACCACTTCAGTACCTGCTGGGTGTGCATGGAAACCAGAGCTGCCCTCCGTGTCCAGAGGTGGCCTTTCTTCCAAGCTTTGCTTGGTTGCTTGATGGCTTCTGATCTCCTGTAGGGACCAAACTGATCGTTTTGCTTCTTGAGTCAATGGTATATTTGCTGATGGTGTAGCTTTAAGCACCAAAGAGGGAACCAGTGAATGAAGTGAAAAATACAGAGGTATGCCAGTTGATTGTCTAGCTTGACAGCAGCATTTCTGTTTGATGTACTAGCTAAAAATTGGCTTCACCAGTTCTAAAGGTCAGTATCTTTTTCAAAGTAGGTCAGAGATATGAGTTAACAGTAGCTTGCTAGGTTGGTAGTCCCAGATTTGTTCTTTCCAAGCAGGAAAAAGAGCATCATGCAGGAGAGGAGTGTCATTCAACCCTAGGAACCTATCTTAGTTTCACCGTTGTCTTGTGTGGCGTTGGCTGGGAGGCTATATGAAACACCAGATGTACAGAGACATCTGACTGTCCTCCAGTGGGAAAAATGGGGTTTTAACCTCATTAAAAAGTAAGGAACTTGTTGTTCAACTCTAATTCTTGTGTAGAACAGAGCTAATGAGAGAAGATCTCTTTCGAAAAGAACTTTGGTTTCTGTAACTGAAAAGCACACAGTTGAATATTCTTGTCTGAGAGGTGCTGCTATGGAGAACATAGAGAAAAGCTCAGAAGGTCGGAATTCTTATGGGAAAGATCTGTTTGGTTGCCAGTGAGATCGAGGTTTTGCCAGCCTTGAAGATTTGGATTTTGGTTTGGTTTCTTGTGATTTCACACAGAAAAATCCTGTGTATGAACTGCTTCACAATGAAAGCTGAAACAAAATGTGTCAATGTACAGTGCCATTAAGTAAAAGTCACTGCAGCTACCTGTCAATAGTCACCCTGTCTAACTACAGCACAGTAAAAAACAGCCTTCATTTTGTTAGAATTTTGCACCATTGCTACTATTTCTGTGTTTAAGCCTGTGTGTATTTAATTTTTCAAAAAGGTCTTGGACTCAGAGTTTACCATGATTAGCAAAAGAGTTTGCTCTTATCTGCTTTGAGTTGGCTGGCCACAAGTTTTTTCTCAAATCAGAAACCAAGCAAGTACTGCATTAACATTATCCAGCTGCAAAAATATGTGTTGAGACAATGCTGCACCTCTGCAGCTATATGGATGAGCTTATGTTTGTCAGGATCGTACTCCATGCAGCCTAATGGGGCACTGAAAGAATGATGCTTGCAGGTGTGATCCAGATGTTATATATTCCCTTTTTCTTTGTTCTCATCCTGAACATGAGATTATAGGGAAAGACTTGGAATACAAGTGCTAGCTCATGATTCTTTTGGTAATTTCCGACATTCCCTTTTCCTTCTCTCCTTCCCTGTTTCTCATGCTCCCAGGCTGGAAGCACCTAGCACAGCACCACAAGCCTTTCCTGTTTCCTGGGATATGTTCCAGACAGGGCATCTCCTACACTCACTCCACACTATTTGTATTGCCTTATCAAAAGCAAGTGGTGATAACTTTTCTGTTGTTAATGACAAGTACGGATTAATGTATTATCAAAGTTTAAACAAGATAGAGATGTTTCTGAGTGTGACTAAAATAAAGCATAGCTTATGAGAAACTTCATAAAACCTGACTGGATGTATGCAGCTGTTTGGATAGACAGTGCTGTGGAAGTTGTTATGGATGAGTTCTAAACATACACAGTAACAACTTTATTAAAAAGAGGGTCTATAGATGCAGATCCTGTGTGAGGCCACAGGAGGTGTACTTCAGTTGCTGGTCTCATCCAGAGTGAGAGTTATGCTGTGATGTCTGCCACTGTTGCTTGACTGCCTCCTATGTTCTCTTTTGCAGGTTGCCTCTCCCTGCTGGTGACAGTGCAGGACACTGAACGTTACACCACCTTATTTGCCAGTATTACCCTCAAGTGTGACTACAGCACTTCAGCCCAGCTGCAGGATGTAGTGGTGACCTGGCGCTTCAAATCCTTCTGCAAGGACCCCATCTTTGATTACTACTCAGTCTGTGAGTATCAGGCTTGTCTCCCAAGGGATTGCTCTACAAGGAACAGGGAGGCAGACTTACTGGGGAATATGGGTTTTTCCTGACCACAGAGTAGGTCAGGCAGTGGTGTTTTCCCAGGATCCAAGAAAACAAGATTGTGTCTGTGATTTCCTTTGCAACGTCAAGACTTTATGCTACTGTTTCATAGAAATCCCAGCCAAAACAGTTTGTCCTCTTTGTCATCAAATCAGAAGGCAGACAGATTCAACCATGTTTTACGTGTGTCAGACTTGGCAGTCTCATATTTGAAAACAAGGGTCTTGCAACATGTAGACTTAATGATTACATGGGAGGCACTAGTTTTGAAGCTGGAGACCAGTGACTGTTACTGATCTTAGGCAGAAACATGCTCTTTGGAGTGCAAGAAGGCTCCTAAGCAATAGTATTTAATACTAGTGGCAAGACTTTATATGCAGATATTCTGGTGCTTGTTGCCTTGTTTCAGGAGTGTTTAAGATGGTGTGTTTGAACTGGCCAGCCTTAGCTTAATTACATATTTAAGAATGAAGACCCTAGACTTGTTTGGTGTCTTGGTGCTTAAATTCCATCTCTGATCTCTGGATGGGTTGGATAAGCATGTTATCTATAGCCAAGTCTGCAAACAGGTGAGTCTGATGCTCTGCTGTTCCCAGAGTAATGTGGTTCAAACTCATAGTCCCCAACAAGGATAGAAAGCACGAAGGTCATGGTGTTTGCTTAGGTGGATCTGCTCTTCATGATCCATTGTAAACACAGCCATGTTTTTGACAAGGTTTGTCCTGTCTTCTCTTCATTGCAAGTCCTTTACAGACAGTGCTAAGTGCCTGTATCAGTAGCCTCCACGAATCTCAGTACCCAGATGCCTGACAACTCAATCTTTGGTTATACTGTGAATCTCTTATAAGAGTATTAGACAGAAATTGCCTTTAGTCTTTCACTAGTGTTATTTGGTCTCTATACAATATAGTCCTATACAGGAATTGGGCTGATGAGTTTTCCTGTCTTTAGGAGCCCCACAACATATAATGTAATAGAGAAGGGAGAGGGAGGCAATCCTGCAGTGGTTTTTGTGTGTCTGGAGATACTTTTTGTTGTTAAATAAACAACATATTTTATTTTGCTTCTGTTCCAGTAATTCTTGGAGTTCTGTGACTCTTTTCCTTGCAGTTTGTTTTTGCACACGGTCCTGCCCTCCCACTTACCTTTCTTAGGTTCTTTGTGCTGTTGTTCTTTCAGTTGTGAGCACAGGAACTCCTCTCAAAACAGCTCTCAAAATCTCTGTCATTCCTGTGGCCCTTCTTCTTTTTTGCTTTTAAGCACTCCAAAGCAACTTATCCTTTCTCTTCTGAAGCCGTGCTTTGTCTTACTGAACAAAAGCAAGTGCACATGTGCATTCAGGAGTTCTCTGCTGCTTACAAGGGATAAAAATTGGCCCTTTGAAATAATTTTTTGCATCTCATTTGATGATGTTTGCTTATAGCGTATCAAGCCAGTTTAGCACTTGGCCAGGACCCGTCTGATGACTGCAATGACGTCCAACGAAAGGTGCGCATTGTCATCCAGAAATATGGGCAGAATGAGCCTGTGCTGGGTGTTGACTACCGGCAACGAAAGATCACCATCCAGAACCGTAAGTGACTTGGCCTCACAGGCAGGCAGTGAACTATCCAGTACGTGGGCCTACTAAGCAAAGGAAAGCATAAATATGGGTAATGTTATCTGTGGCTTATGTATTCTGTGATGTGGCAATGGAAACCTAGGCAGGTCTAGCAGTGGGCCCAGGAGAACATCATGATGTTCAACAAATCCAAGTACAAGGTCTTGCACCTGAGTCACAGCACCCCCTGCTATCCGAACAAGCTAGGAGATGAAAGAATTGATCACAGCCCTGCCGAAAAAGACCTGGGTGGACTGGTGGATGGCAGTCTGGACATGAGCGAGCAGTGTGCTCTCGCAGCTCAGAAAGCCAGCTGTATCCTGGAATGCATCAAAAGCAGCATGGCCAGCAGGTGGAGGGAGGTGATCCTGCCTCTCTGCACTGCTCTGGTGAGACCTCACCTGGAGTACTGCATCCAGATGTGGAGTCCTCAGTACAGGCGAGACATAGATCTGCTGGTGGAGGGCCACAAAAATGATTCAAGGGATGGAGCACCTCCCCTGTGATGACAGGCTGAGAGAGCTGGGGCTGTTCAGCTAGGAGAAGTCTCTTCCCAGAAACCTGAGAGTAACCTTTCAGTATGTAAAGGGGGGCTATTAGAAAGATAGGGGTAGGCTCTTTAGCAGGATCTGTTGTGACAGGACAAGGAGAATTATTTCAAACTAAAAGGGGAGATTTAGATTGGGTACAAGGAAAGAGTTTTTTGCATAAAGGATAGTGAAGCACTGGCACAGGTTGCCCAGAGGTGGTGGATGCCCCGTGCCTGGAGACATTCAAGTTAAGGCTGGGCGGGGCTCTGAGCAACCTGATCTAGTAGGTGTCCCTGTTCATTGCAGGGGAATTGGACTAGATGACTTTTGGGTGTCCCTTCTAACTCAAGTGACTCTGTGTGTGATTTTGTGAAAAAGGGTTGTGAAGGGCCAGGTCCCCGGTCCCCTACCTGGCCTAAGAGTGTTGGAGGCAGTACAAGTTAAGGCTGAGTTGAGGATACCCCAGCATTTTGCTGAAGAGTATAGATCAGCTGAGATGTTCACAGGCCAGAAAACAGTTATTTCCTTTAAGAAACACTGCATAGTTTTATAGGTGTGTTATATGCTCTGTCCTTGGAGCATAGCTGTTGCTGCTGCAAGAGAGTTAGTTACTGAGATGTCTGGCCTAATGATTACAGGAGTTTGTGTTCCAAAACCAGTGCTGGCAGCTGGCAGAGTGCTTTTTAACATATATGACCCAGCAACACTCTAGTGTTTTATTGCACACAGAACTAATCCCACTTCTAAGTAATGTTGCCTTCCAGCCACACAAAGAGAAATAGGACTGGCAGTCAGTGCTATTCACAAAATTTGTCAGTGGTCCTAAAGAGGATTGTCTGAATGTGATGGCTACCCTTGGGAAGAGGATATGCAATACTCGATATTGCCTGCAGGCAAGAGGCCTTCTTAGAGTAGGATCTGAAAGGAGTGTCAGTTTCAAATATTCTGCTCACCTCTCAGTCCTTCTCCCACAGGGGCAGACCTTGTAATCAGTGAAGTCATGTGGTGGGACCATGGCGTATACTACTGCACTGTGGAAGCACCAGGAGATACCTCAGGAGATCCAGACAAAGAAGTTAAGCTAATTGTTTTACGTAAGTTCCTGTTGCCTGGGCAGCACATATCTCCTGTTCTTTTCCGCCCCACTCCTAAGATTTCTCCAGTTCTGGAAAGGTGCTTGGTAAGTTACTGTAACCAGGTATGCCAGGATCCTCTTTCTCTCTCCATTTCTCCCATAGACTGGCTCACAGTACTCCTCATCATCCTCGGTGGCCTCCTCCTCCTCCTACTGATTGGAATATGTTGGTGCCAGTGCTGCCCCCAGCATTGCTGCTGCCACATCCGATGTGTCTGCTGCCCAACCCGGTGCTGCTGTAATGAGAAAGGTGAGATGCAAGGAAATATGTGTCCGTTCATGATTTCTGTCAAGACAAAAACCTGATGCAGTTTTGAGTTCCACTTTCTCCCTCCAAGTTGAGTGTCCATATAGACTGCAACATTTCTTTGAGTGACGATGTTACGTTTACGACCACCTTACTTGAGATTAGAGAAGGGGATGTGATTCCATTTTGCATCCATGTGTCCTACTTTCAAAAATTTGTCCCTACTGACATCTCACTGCCAACTTCTCACATGTCATCTTCCAGGGCACAGTCACTGGCCTTGTGTAAGTAGCTCAAGACTGTTTTTTAACCTGTCTTGTGGTTCTTAGGCCTGTGCACATAAGAGAAGCAAGTAAGCGGATGCCTTGTCGTTACAGTGATGTTATTGTAAGGCCTAACCTTCAAGTATGTTGCTCTGAAAGGTACTTGTATAAAATTTGGATTTCTGTTTGCCATCTTATTATTTTTAGAGCTGCCCTTGTCACAAGAAAAAGGTATTCTCTCTTTGGGCTTGTTTACTTTTTTTTTGAGCAAGGGAGGAAGTGAGAAGAAAGGAAAAAGGCTTATCATAGTGGTCAACACTACAAATACTTTCTGAAGATTTGAGGCTCAAGAGAAACTTTGTTGTATGCAATTTTTTGCAATAATAAAGATTCTGTAGCCAGACAGTGTTCTGTTAATATGCCAGCCAGGCATAGTATTTAAATTTTGACTGCTATGGTTGTTTAATCTCTGTGTTCCTGTAACTGTAACTTAGGAGTGACACAAGGTGGAATACCCCCCCCCACACACACACACACACTTCATACTATTTGATAGGAACAGAGTTCATCAAATGCATTTACCTATCACAGGATTCTTCTGTAGATGCTGCAAGGAGAGAACTTGTGAACAGGAGCTGTGTTTCTTTTTAATTGCAATTAGAATTATTTGGATTACCTTGGGTGTTAGTAAGCTCGCTAACAGCTGAAAGAGGCTACTGTGAGAGTTTTAGCTTTGTGCTTAATCTGCTTAGCCCTTGCAGAGAGCAAACAGACCATCTCATTTGCTAAAGCCAAACTCAAGCACAACAGTTTCTTGGAATTTTTTGGTTGTGTGGTGCCGAGGATGGAATGGAAGTGAGGATACAATGAACATTTGGCAGAGAGCTTGCGTTCCATGAGAGGAAGGCAATGGAGATGAAAGATTTGCACCTCCAGACTTTCTAGTTCTCATTGAAGAAAGGATTTTGAAAATGCTTTAACTTTTTAAGGGGAATTTCTGTGCTGTAGGTAGCAATGGCACTTTCCAGAGTGCTGCTTTTGTCTTTCCTGCCTTCTGCTGAGGATAAATAGGAGAAATTCTTGTGGGTTCCCAGAACCTCTGCCTGCTCACAAGAGAAGGTACAGAAGGGTTCAGCCTCCTTGGCAGATTCCTTGCTGGAATCTGTGAATATAATTTCCATCTCAGCTGCCTGCCCTTTTGATCCACTTTGCAAGGAATCCTTGAGAGATTGCTCCCCTGCTCTGGTTCACCTTCACTTCATCCTGCTTCCAATGGACTTTTTTAGCCTCCAGGAAATGAACTGGAGACTTACAAAACAGAAGGCTGAGGCAGTAAACATCTTAAAAAGCAGTTCTAAGGAATAACAGTTCCGTGTAATTGAAGAGAAGACAAAAGTCGTCAATTAAATTGTAGAATTACAGCATGAATTGTCATGTGGATGATTTTTTCCCACTTACTCGCCACTAGAGGGTAGCCTAGATCTGTTGAATGGGCTTAGGGTATGCTGAGGCGGGGTAACTCCGTGTTTTAAGTCGGGTCATCAGCTAACATGATTTTGAACCTTGTAATTGAAGTGAATTGTTTGGGTAATTCAGAATTGGTGTTACAGACATATTAAGCATGCCCCACGGGGCAAGCCAATTACATTTCCCATGGAAAACTCCAAAAAGCCTGCTAGTATAGATATTGTGGTAAATACATGTATGACCTCCTTCTGTTCCTATTAGTTCCTTTTCTCCTGCACGCTTCTTCCATTAATGAATTGGAAAAAAAAAAGATGAGGATAGTAAAGAAATTCCAGGGATAATTCTGCATTTGTTCAACTACAAGGATAGATCAGAGAACCATAGGCTTAGGATGGCTGATGCTAGTGGCTACCTTCATACATTAAAGAGAGAGGAGCCTGTAGTGCTATAAGTGTGCCTTTCACTGCTGAGCCTCTCACTGCTCAGGTAGGACTGCATTCAAAAGTCAGAGATGTGCATTCCACAGGTGCAAGGACATTCTGAAGATGATAACCAAAGGATAGGGCCTTTATTTTTACCTCTCTTTATTGTCTTTTTTCACTCTTCCTTTCGAATTTAAAAGCTAAACTGGTGGAAAATTCCTTGGAAAGAAAATAACGAAGCATGTTTTACATTAAATGCTTGAAAACTGCTACCTCAGGCCACAACACTTTGAAGAAAAATCAGTGTATTAGGATTAAAACTCCTGAAGTCTCCAGCTTTGTAGTTCCCTATGTTTGGAGCCAGGCTGGGGAAAGAATCAAGTGGAGAACAAAGTGGAGCTGTGTGAGCTGTGGAGAAAGGGAAGAATGTGCTCAGAGGGAGTGTCAGTCAGTGAAACAGTTAAAGGAGTACATACATGCAATCTGTTTAATAAATGGAGTGCTACATGAAACCAAAGAGTTGAGACCCTGAGAGTACTCAATCTAAATGCTGCTTGCTACAGATTAACTCAGGGGATAGAATTAATTGGAGCTTAGCTGTAGCCAGGTTTCTTAAAGAAAGAAGGCTTGTGCAGCCAGCCTGTGTATCCCCAGTCTCTTCCCCTTCAGTAACTTTTAATTTCATCAGCTAATTTCAGACATTTATTAGAGGGGTAAGTGTCTCAAAGGCAATTACATGCTTAACTGTTTGCTGAAATGTATGGGCAAGAATGTTCTGTTAGTGCCTTATGGAGGAGACTGCAGTAAAAGACTGCCTCTTTTGAGATTCTAGATAAGCCATGTAAGAGAATTTTTGCAAAAGCCCCAGCTGCAGAAGCGTTTCACCCAAATGTGAAAGACAAACCACTTGCAGAATTTACTTGTAAAACTTCAGTTTTGATTGTTTCTGGTAGAAAGTGTAAGGCTTTTTTTAAGATGTTTTAGCTTTCTCAAAAAAAAAAGAGCCAGCAATGAGTGATGGTTTTTAAGGCAGAGATGGTGATGTTGTCTTTGTAGGGGGGAGGTGCTCAAAAAAAATTAAGTTGGATGGAAGCATGACTCCACTGGTAGCAGACTGGAATTAGTGATGGAAAAATGGTGACAAAGTGGAAATTTCCACTGAGTTTCCTCTTCTGGGACACTGGACATTGCTGTTGAGAACAGGACGTTTAGTTTGTTCACCAGTTTGACCACATTGTCTGAAGGGATTTAATTTTTGCAGTCATGCAGAGGTAAATAGGAGAGAGACAACAAGAGCAGCTAAAAGACTAGATAGGAAGAAGGCGGACAATGCATCTCTGTGTGCCCTTGTTTGTAGAACAGAGAAGAAACTGTTTTTGTGTGTGGTGTGGAAGATCTATACAAAGCCTACATGAGAAGAGCTAAAAAGGTCTTGTTTAACTGCAAGGAAAGGACTAATGGTGAACTGAAAGTTTTAAGAAAGAAAACATTGTGGTATGTCTTGCTGTATGAAACATTTCCCAGTTGGCCATATCTGTACTCATAGTGACATGGCAGACCACAGTAGGTTATGTGCTGTATATGTAATCCTAGTGCTGTTTGTTCCTGGTTCCTGGAAATGTACGAGGCAGTAACCCTTTTCTTCAGTTTTAGGTACATTTTGGAAGCTGTACAACTGTTTTGTTAAAATTTCCTGTGCTCTATTTGTAAGCTTTGTCTTAAGTTGGAGAGAGCTTCTCATTCTGTGATCGCGTTCAAAGGTTAGAGTCTATCAAGCAAAAGGGTATGTGTTCTGCAAGCTGTACTCTAGGCATAGCTACTCAAAGCTTTCTTCTTCTTTTACAGTACTGGAACGGCATCGATTCATGAAGCGGGCTCAGGCATTTGCACCGTGGATGTTACCTAACATGTTCTATGGAGGTGCTGATAGGAACTCACAACTTTCCTCTTATCAGCTGAACCCTCTACTGCAACAAGGTGAGACTACAGTCATTATTTCAGAGAGAAATAGGAAAGAGAAGCAGGTAACTTCTCAGGGAGCTTCAGCAGTGAATCTTTATCCTCTCCTACAAAGAGAGAAAGATGTTCCTAGCATGACTACATGTCCTAGCATGACAGCTTTGCTTCATCTGCAACAGACTTTAGACTTGCCTGTGTAGGTGAATACAGCATATACATCTTAAGTGTCTCTCTAGGCTCAGTGCTGGGTGAAGTAGTTGAATGCTAACTAAGGTGTATCTTGTGCTACGCCACAGTGACTGCAGGGTAAATATACCCAGCTTATCTCGCTTCATGGGGTGGAAGAGGGTACTGTGTCTTTGTTCTGCTGTGCTGGTCACGGTCAACTCCTTATATCCAAAATTGACATGAGAAGTGAGGTGCAATTTGTTTGAGTTCTTATCAAATGTCTGGTCTTCATACAATTGAGGGCAAACTGCCTTCTGTGCAACATGCAGCACACATGCAGCAAAGAATAAATCTGGAAGAATTTACTAGATATTCTGCCTCAAAATTACTTGTATTAGTTGTATATATTTTTGAGTTTAATTGAATAAGGAAGATAGAATGTCTGAAGTCATAGAGACAGAAGCAATAGAATAAATTATTACCAGCAATATTATTTAACCACCCCCAAGAACAATAGCAGAATTCAGCATGACTTCTCATACAGGATTTTTTTCGTATGAAATTAGCTTTTCATCACTGAACTGCAGTCACAGGTTTACAGTCTTAACCACTGTTTGAGGAGTTTGAAAGCATCTCAAATGTTAGATTTAAGGTGTTTGAGTATATACTTTGTTAACTCTTCAGTTAATTCGGCAATTGGTTATTTTTCCTAGTCAGGGCCTCAGTTCACTTTATAAAGATCTGTGACTGAGCTGTCATCAGTTAAGATGGAATGCACTTCTCAAAGAAATACGTGGACACGCTGTCAGAATGCAGTGGACAGTTAAGTTCCTTAGACTGTCACTTAGCTTTATTCATGTCACATATTTGAAACTTTAGAGATGCTGAGTGGAAGGGAACTCTAAGGTTGTTTAGTACTCCCTCTTGCTCAAAGCAGGACTATCACTAACTTCAGTTACTGTGGCTTTGTCCAACTGAGATGTGGAAACCTGCAAGGATGAAGATTCCATGATTTCTCTGGGTAACTGTTCCAGAACTGCACCAGCTTCACAGGGGAGAAACTTTACCATTTTCTACTTATATCTGTACATATATTTATATGCGTGTGTGTGTTTATGTGCATTTGCATTTTTAAAAAAATCTTCTTTTGCAGTATTGATTCATATTATTTCCAGTTCAGTAAGATATTAGAGTAAAAAAAAATGAGAAAACCACCAATGTGTGGGAAAACTTATGTTCCTCTCTCCAAATACTCATTCCCTGGTGTGCTGGATGACTTAATTTCTTACCTATGTGCTGGTCAGAGCACAAATTGTGGCTGCAACATACTTGTTTCTGTACTTTGCATCTTACCTTCTGTGGTTGTGGCGCTTGAAACCTGCGCAGCTCTTACAGTGAGGACTCAGAAGTGAGACTCAGAGGAGATTTAGCGAAGGCCATTAGCATAGAGAGGCTCGCTCTTTTGTTTTTCCTTACCGCATTCTCCTGTTATTTAATCTTCAGATGTGTCTCTGCAGAACAGTCTTCCACTGGTGCAGCCACAAGCTCGACTTTCCCCTAACAAGGGTGTTTTGGACTATCTGGAATCTGAAATCCAAAACTTTAACCCGTCACAGCCCCGGCCACCCTCCAACCAGCGGCAGGCAGTGCAGCCCAGCTTACTGTCCTCCCTGGGCAGCGACATCATGCAGCGTGGCACAAATGGTCTTCCTCCTCTCACTGGTCACGTTTCTTCCTCCCATGGGAGCAGCAACTCCTCACGTCCACAGAGAACTACCCGCAGCCCCAGAACTTGGGACTCCATAGCAGAGAACAGGAGGGAAGATCGGAGGTGGCCCTTGCCTTCCAGTGAAGATTCTCGATCCAGCTACAGTCGGGAACCCTGGGACAGGCAGCGAGAGGACCATCCTCCAAGGCAGAGGATAGGCGGCTATGATCACAGGCCCCAACATTCCAGGCGGGATGTGTCACCCACCCGCCAGACTGAGAGGGGAAAAAGCAGCAGCAGCAGCTGCAGTTTCTATTCAGAAGAGGCCAAGGAGCACTCCAGCCACCATCGTGGCCGGAGACAGCAGCCTACAGTGAGGCGAGAGTACCAGCAGCACACCAGGAACAGCAATAACTCAAGGCACCGGCGGCACAGCTACTCTCCCCCATCTCGACGGGGATCATGGAGCTCCTCAGAAGAGCAAATCCGTCTCCCAGCGACAAACCGCAGGCGGCACAAGCGGTCTCGGGAATGGCCAGAAGATAAACCTCCCAGTTATCGCTCACTAGAAATCATCCCAGATCGGGACAGCAAGCACAAAGAGGGTGCAGGGCCACGCTCGGTGAGTCAGCTGCCTTTTTTCTTGCAGTCACAGGGCAGAGATGGGTTCTGGGGGTGACAGTGAATGTCAGTTACTTTTTGCTGCCTGATGTCTTTCTTTCAAAAGAAGGGAAAGAGTATTGAGTACCTTAGGAAACTGTGGGAAATGCATGTTCTTTCAGGCCACGTAGAAGAGAGTGGCTTGCTAGCTGCAGCTCCTGAGGACTGGACATGCATTATATGGGGAGTAAAGATTTGCTGTTCACAGCTCATCTTATCAATTTACACTATGACTAGATGTCAAGCAGTGTCCCATGCATGAAAATCTTAGTATCCAATTGCTAGCCCTGAAGCTAGACTGTATGTTCCTCCTTAAAAAATGGAGTTTTTCAAAAACAACAAAAGTAACAGAATTAATTGTCCATTATCACCTCTATGGAGTATTTTACCAGGTGGCTGTTTTCTCACAGGGCCATATTTTGCATGTTACAGTTTTCCCCTCTGAGTTTTGGAAGGCAATGTAATTTTAGTCCCAGCTATGATGTGTATATTTATGAATGGTTTTGTTTCAGTGCTAAGAATATGTAGGAAGACACTTGATTTTCATTTATCTTTCCTTGTTCCTGAATCTTTTATTTTCTCCTGCAGGACAGAGGAAGTTCCTATAGTGCAAGAAGCATTGTCATTTAATGCCAGTACTGAAAGAACAAAGATTCACACTGGACTCTTTCAAGCTTTTTTTTACTATATAGTTGGGTTGACTACTTTTGATTGAACCAGCAAAAGAAAAACAAACAGAAGATGAAACTGCTTTTGAAGAAGATATGTCTAGTGAACGTGAAAGCAATATATAACCCATATTTGTTCCTACTTTGATTTGGAAACTTAGGTTTGTGATGGGCTGAAAACATGCTATTGGATACAGCAAATTTTTTTAATAAACTGTATTCCCAGAGATATCAGTTGCTTTTGTTAGGTACTCTGACACTACAAGGAGGGCAGTATATAGAATGCTGATCCTTTGCACACCAGTTACTGGAGAAGGGCTCAGATAATCACAGAGATGTAAAGTCACAGGACAATAGAGTAATTTACATTGAAAGACACCTCTGGAGCTCATCTGACCCAGTCACCTCAGAAGTTGGTGTAGAGAGGTGTAGCATTTCCTTTCTGAGGCCCTCTATTGTATTTCAGAATTATTTGATGCTTGCTGCTTCTGCCTGACTATTCAGTGTAAAGTGAGCAGTTCCTCTCCTTTGTCCCTGATCCCAAACAGCATAATTCCAGTGTTAGAAGAATTTAGAAGCCTTACTAAGGGCTCACTGCAATCTGCAAATAGCCAGCTTCTCTGCCCTATACTGACTGAAAACCCTGCTTTGCATTAAGCTTAGACTTGGTACCTAAAAAGATGTTCGTTCTAGTCTTTAACACAGACTTGAATTTATTTGTAAATGTAATGAGCTAGATTTACCAAAGCTTGGTCATCCCCACAGGAACTGAGCATATTATGACTACTATCTCTCGTACTGTAGACCAGAACTTCCTTCAACTCTAGGAAGCATAATTTTGATGGATGTATGTTTCCTGGGCCATATATTCATTTTATGTTCTCCCTTTGCCCTCTCTAACATGTATTATATACATGGGGTGGGATAAAGGGCTCTGAAAAGGCCTAACAATTTTTACTATTGTTCTCTTGAACTTTACCCTGACACAAATCAATTCTGAATACGTGGTGTATCTGATCTTATCTAGATGGCAGGGTTTTCTCATCCCTTCCCTTGCAACTTGAATGCAGAATTCCTTAAGACTACCTGCAAAGGAGAAAAGCTTGCCATTTTTCCTTGAGGTGATTCATCCATCCACTGTGATCATTTAAAATATACTGGAAAACTTGATGTTCTCTGGGTGCTACAGTTACATGCTTGGTGCATGCATGGGAAACAGGCTTGCCAAAGACATGCTTGGATTCAAGAAACTCATTTGTTGACATGGAGCTTTAGGAGCATCTTGTGAATTATTTTATAACTCTGAGACACTAGAGTTTGGCCAGTGTCAGTTACTGTACTGTCCAGCTTATTTCCCAGCCAGTGCCATAGCTCAATTCCCAAGGTAGGAACTCTCTCAGACAGCAAGAAAACTGCATGTAACAGCAGCAGCAGTTGTAGCATGAGCATGTCATCCAGAGGGACCTGGATAAACTGGAAAGATGGGCCGTTGTGAACCTAGTGAAGTTCAACAAAGCAAAGAGCAAGATTTTGCGCTTCAGTTGAGATAATCCCAGATATAGATACAAACTGGGAGAAGAAATCCTTGAGAGCAGTTCTGCTGAGAAGGACTTACGGGTGCTGGTTGATGGAAAACATAACATCAGCAGTGTGTGCTTGCAGCCCAGAAAGGCAATGGTATCCTGGGCTGGCGATTGTCCTCTTCAACTCTACACTCATGAGGCCCCAGCTTGTGTACTGCATCCAAGTCTGGGGCCCTCAGCACAGGAAAGATGAGGAGCTTTTGGAGGGGGTCCAGTGGAGAGCCATGAAGATGATCTCCTATGAAGATAGGCTGAAGGAACTGGGCTTGTTCAGCCTGGAAAGGAGAAGGCTGTGGGGAGACTTAATTGTGGCCTTCCAGTATTTAAAAGGAGTTCATAAACGTGAGGGAAATCAACTTCTTACACAGGTAAACAGTGATAGGACAAGGGGGAATGGTTCTAAACTGAAGGAGGATAGATTTAGATTAGATGTAAAGGGGGAAGCTTTTTACTGAGAGAGTGGTGAGGTGCTGGAGCACATTGCCCGGAGAGGATGCCCCATCCCTGGAGGTGTTTAAGAGCAAGCTGGATGGGACTCTGGGCAACCTAATTTGGTACTTGATGTAGCAGCTGGCAGTCCTGTCTGTGCAGGGGAGTTGGAACTTGATGATCCTTGAGGTCCCTTCCAACCCAAGCCATTCTATGATTCTACAATTCATGCTAACTGCAGAGGTTGCACTTTTTGGTCTAAATCACACGTAAGAGCTCTCCATCTTCATTCATTACTGCGGTTCCCATATTTGAGTCAGAATGACTACCATAGGTTGTGTGAATCTGTGCATGATGTGCTGTGTGAAGTCTGAAGGGTTTTATCTTCATCACGTTTGAGCTCCTCTTCAATAACTTTGTTCATATTCATAGAAACATTAAACATAACACTTCAGGGAAAACTGATTATATCTAAGTCTTAATTCTGTGACTTAAAATTGCAGACAGAAGTAGATTAGGTTATCCAGCAGGAAAACTGAAATGGTGCCAGTTTGGTAAGATCTGGTCCACAAACCACTGTGCTTCATAAAGCACTGATTAGTGGTCTATGAAATAATTAAAAAGGAAATATATGTACATGCTTTGCAACTGCAAGCAGACAGAAAAGTAGGAAGGAAACAGGCTACTCTTTGAATACATATCTCTATTTTTAATTGGCTAAAAATGAAAGCCTGTGCAATGGCACTGCTCAATACTATGTAGACTTTATTTAACAGTGAGAGTACAAGGCCTTTGACTTTTTAAAACAGAGAGATTAAATTTGGCAGCTTAAATACTACACAATGAAAGAACAGTAGAAAATAGTTAAGCTTCATTCTTTCTAGGTTGTAATTTACTCATTTTTAATTTTTTAGCCATTCCAAAGGGCTGATGTTTGTGTGTCACCCATTTGTGATGAAAGAAAGAAATATGATTTCATTTGTGAGCTATTTTAGACTTTTGTTTCTTCCTGCTATGCAGATGAGGGAATATACCTTGCACCTAAGAATGAATTTTGTGTATGAAAGTCTCTAGATAGCCACTGGAGTTATCCATGTTAAAATAAAGAATAGGTGACTATGGCACATGGAACAGATGAGGAGATTCATGCTGCTAATGTCAGCTGCTTTCCATCTCAAACCAAAGATTCATAAGAAAGATAAAAGAACTATGGTTTTTTTTTTTTTTATTTGATTAAAAAAGGATTGCAATACCTGGCTTCCTTGCTTATTTGCAGAGCATTCTGCCATTCCAGGAATGAAGGGCAAGGACTGCATCTTGTGCAATCATCGATTTGGGCTTGGCAATTGCCTGTTTGGCAGTAGAAAGCACTGAAAGGCCCTGTTGCTACCTATGGGATTGCATTCATGACAGCACTGGGTAAAGTTAGACAAACTTAGGAGGGATAAAAGTTACCATAACACAAAGCTCTTCAGAGGTACATATTACTACGTAGGGCAGCTAAATTCCCTTTGTTTTACTACCTCAGGCAGCACATCACTTTAAAACACACCCTTAATATGGCCAAAGACTGCCATTTGTTGACCTGACTTAGAAGAGAGATGACTCTTGTGGTTATATTAAATACCCCAAGTAATGACTGCCTATTGCTATTTCTGTTAACTTGAATGCCTACAATGTGTCTTTTACTGTCTTATTACTTCAGCTTTACAAGTAGGCGGTAGATCTGTAGAGTCTCCTAATGATTGTAGAATCTGTAATTAAAATATGAGAGAACTTCAAACTCTTGTTGTTCCTGTGTGTTCTTCCTAGACCATAAATTGCTTTTTAGTGTTTACATGAGAAGTGGAACTGAAAATTCTTTGTTCTGACTTCTAGAAGTAACCTTGTTAGACATCAGTAATAATTTTCAGCTGTCTTATTCTGCTTCCATAGGGATTTTTTTGGATCAATGTTCATGTTTCAGGTGGCTTTTTCTTTGTTTTTTGAAAAAAGAAGATATGTTTAATAAATACTTCACCAAGAGAGTGGAAAAATTGTGTGGGAGGCCATGGGCAGTCCTCTTTAATAATGTGACCTCAGTTGTATCACTGCTGCAATCACTGATTTGGCTGCCATATCTGTAAAAGGGAAATGCTTACTGTTTGGTTTACAATACACAAAGCTCCATGAAGAAAAGTCTTTTAGAAGAACGTGTTGGGTTGATAAAGATACTGTTTAAGCTTTTTGGAGTGTCCATCTGTTAGTTGAAAGTCATGTCAGTGACTTAGTAGGTGACTAATACTACTTTATGTCACTGACATAAGATAGTTTTGTTGGGTCTCACATTGCAGGTTTAACGTACGCCTCATGCCCACACCTCTTCCTCAGCTAATGCCATTTGTTGCTCCATGTTGCAAATTTTCTGCCTCCAGTGTTCAATGGTTGTATGTGCCAGATACTGATGGTTGGCCTGACTGAAGACCTAATGGGCACTCGGAGATTGAGCTATGGGAAATGCACATTCCACAGCATGACACAACTGAGTGGGTGCAGTTCCCCAGGCAGTCTGGAGAGAAGTTATGCTTCCCCCGTGCAGATTTTGACATCTGGCTGAGATCTGCACTCATCTTGTCAGCCTGTGCAAAAAGGCTTGGCTATGGGGAAAAATGAATGGCAAGAGCACATGCGGTGCATATACCTGTGTGCACCAGTTGGTTAATACATTTGTTGGAAACAGAGGATGAAATATGAATGAGCATAATAGCCACAAATAATTTGCAGCTGTCAAAGCAGTCAGCTTTCAACATGAGCCTTCCCACAGGAACAGTGGGAGCAAAAATCAGTCCAGCTCAAGCTACAGTTAATGTGGAATTTGCTCAGTTTATGAAAGGGTCCTCCATGACATGGTTGCCAGAAAATGTAGGGGGCTCAGTGACCCAGGAGCTGCCTTCCACGTCTCCTGTGCTCAGGTCAGACTGACCCTCCATTACCAAATCCCAACAACAGGTCCAGAGTCCTACACAGCTTCTTGTCCTTCCCGCTGAGCTGAATCTGCTTGCAAAAGAGCAAATGAGGAAACAAAACGGGACCTTTGACCCTTCATTATCTCTATATTAGTTCTGTATAAATGCTGGTGTCTCAGATGAGCATCACCCTCAGCTTCAGCCTGGGAGAGAGCAAGCAGGACAGGTAAGAACTGCACTCTCTGCTCTGGGTGGTATGGACCTTGGGACATTGACAAGTGAGTGAAGGCAGCCTGCTCCACTTTTTACAAAGCGTGGACCCTCCTCATGCTCCCCAGCATGGAATATTGCTGAAATGGAAGAGGGAGGGAGTGGACTGATGATGAGTGATGGAAGCTCCATAGGACACTCATAGCAGGGTCAAACCCATGGTTAGGGAATCGCAGAGTTGCAGTGTTGGAATATACATGACTTTTACCCAGCTGCCCTGCCCCATAGCGGCTTCAGGCTCTAAAGTAGGTCAGATCCCCTCTTTACAGTCCTGGGAAGCAAATTTATGCCTTTTGTCTACAAAGGAAGAAACTGTACCTAGGATTAAAAATCAAAGAAGGGTAGTAACTGAGCAACTGCTGCTAGTCAGCAAATTCCTAGTGAAAATGGAGTGGTAATTTTGGGATGTAATCCGTGCGTAAAAGGAAAAAAAAACTAGATATACACTGCCTCACTGTGGAATAAGAAGCGCTGGCTAGTGCCACTACTTGGAACAGGATTTAGCAAAGTATTCATACAGAACAGGTGTGCAACTCTTTTTGCCACTGCAATTCCTAGCACTGTTTTTATCATGTTGTTCTGACTGATGCAACTCAGTAGTTCAGCCTATAAATCAATTTTAACTTCTAACTTTCACACATCTTTCTAAATGCACAGTATTTGAAAAGTTTGTTTAGATGTAATGTCATCCTTTCAATGTACCAACTTTTCAAGAGTTTCTCTAATTCCAAATTTTTCAATAGACAGTAAAAAGGATGTTGGATGATGGTGAAGTTTGCACTTATTTACTTCTGATAACTTTTTCTGCCTGGGTTGCTCTCTGCTTCACTTACCACAGTGTGGAAGAGACAAGAGAACCTGGTTGGGTCTTTACTCAACTAGAGCAAGACAAAGTACTCAGATCACTGTGTCATTCAGGTGATCACTGCATGTGATGCATTGACTAGCATAAGATTCCTTACAGCCATTTACAAAAATTCAAGAAAAAAAAACCAACAAAAACAAAACTGCAGCATGACTATTTCAGTTATACCCCTGTGTGGAAGAAGCCTTTTCTGACCACAGTGTTCACAGTGTTTGCTCCTATGCTGAAGCAAGGAATTTTAACTCTCTTACAAAAGAAATAACTTTAGACATCACATATTTCTTGGAGCTCTGAAATCACAAATATTCACCGTGGATATTTGTGATTATATGAATAAAAGGACATGTTCATTTTTGTGCTATATTTGCCTCACTTCTTAAGAAGGGCATCATATTTCCTGTCTTTTTTTTTTTTTTTTTTTTTTTTTTTTTTTTTTTTTTTTTTTTGAATTATTATATATTGGTTAGGTTTTTCTCACAAACCTGATGTTTAGCAGACAGGATATTTTTCTAAAAACAAACAAAATATTGTATGGTTATTCCAGCAGGTCTCTCAGTGTACAAGGCTGAACTGGTACCAACAAACCATGGTGCAATACAGGGCACTGGTGATAGCTCTGATTCTGCTCCTTAGCACCACTGTCCCCGGTAAGTCTGAACAGCTTTTGAGATGGGTTCTCATTGCCCCAGAGAAGACTATCCCATCCACAAAGTAGGACAGAAACTCAATAACACAGTTCAAAACCATGAGCACATACTGCTTCCTAGAGTGAAAGTAGGGGCTTGGTTTGCAAATCATCAATACTTGGTGCAAATACTCTGCCATGTCAGGTGATTCAGGTGCCCAGAAATTAGTAGTGAAAATTAGCTGGATGCTGTTTGCTGAGCAAATTCTTTGAACCTGAGAATTTTGCATCATTTCCCACTGTCCCGGGTAGAAGATATCAGAGGAACATGTGACTGGAGAAGCCTCATGGTTTTTTTTGTCTCCTCCCTCTCAGAAGTGCACTCAAAGTACATCGACAGAGACCGTCGTGACTTGATGGTCATCCCTGATGCAGCTGCAGCTTACGTCTACGAAGCTGTGAACAAGATATCCCCTAGATTTGCTCAGTTCTTGCTGGATGTTTCCCAGACTACACCAGTTTCTGTGACCAGGTATGGAAAAAATTTCTGTGCTAGTGTTGCATAGCTATAGGTGGAAAAGGAGAGGGAGGAGTGGGAGAAAGAACAGATTACTCAAGTATCTATATGAGGGGTCCCAAGGGACAGTGAATGCATGGGTAGGGGTGGGGTAGGGGGCAATGACTGGTAGAGTTTCAACCCCCTGGAAGAGGCTGAGCAGATGCTGCGGTGTTGGCTGTGGGGAGCTGAGTACTGAAGGTGCCAGCAAACGCTGATGGCACTCAACTCAGATTATAAAATTCACTCTATCTGTAAATATGTATTCCCTAAAGAGAGGGAGTTTCCTTCCGGAAGGAAAAGCATGACAACTCAGGAGATAAAGTTTTGCCTAACTTACAGCAAATACAGACTGCCTACTCCTGCCTTCTGAGGAAAGCACCTCTAGGACTGTGGAGGAGCTCTGCACTCAGTGACAGGCAGTGCGAAAGAAGCTTGATAACTACTGCAGACAGAGCTTACTCTCACTCCCATACGTATATATCTCACCACGTATGCTGTTGTCTCCTGCAGGAACTTCCTCATCAGAGAAACAACTAAACTCACTATACTGGCAGAACAGCTGGTGGAAAAAATAAAGAGCATTTGGACAAAAGTGCGAGGCTACTACTAGTTGGAAGAAAAGTCAGTGTTCCCTTAAGTGAGTGGGTATTATCCTGCAGTGTCCTCTTTCCCCTTGCCTCTACTACAGACCAAGATCAGTCAATAACAAAGAATAGATGCTCCTGTTAATGCGACTAGAGGGAACCCAGCATCAAAGACCAAAGGATGGATGACATCTGCTGAGGTTTCCCCTGGAAAAAAAAAAATAGAAAATAGAAAAAAAAAAAAAAAAAAGGCTGCTGGGCACTGAGGAAGGTAATGAGATTGCAGAGTTCTGCTGTAGCCAAATCTTGAAAATTAATTCCTCCTGAATGACTTGGCCATTAACCCTCTAATAAAAAAATGTCGGTTGTTACACTTTCTTCAGTTTCCTACTTGAATTCCTACTGTTATAAAATCACATCCAACTCTGCATCTCATTCTGCTGAGAAAGTGGCTGTGATTCACAAGAAGTTGTTGCAGGCTATGTGAGAAAACCCTGACAGTACAGGCACATTTAACTAAGCTCAGGTTCTTGGCAGATGGGAGGATGGGATGGAATGACAACTTGAACATCTTTTGGGGTCACCACAGCATGGCAACCACAGTAGGGCAGCCATAACCTCACATTATGAAAGGCCATGAAATGTTGAGTCCCACTAATTGTTCTCCTTGTTAGGTAAGAAGCAAGCGGGTGCACATGTATCAAATATCTGAAGATTTCAGATCATTTGAGAAGTGCCAGTAAATGGAAGTGTGCATCAGTTTGATCAGGACTTTGAAAGCATGTTTCATCACCCGAGCAGTGAGTCTACTGATCAGCCTTTCCAAAGGAGAAGGGAAGGAAAATCCCTCCTTAGCTTCAGGATAAAGGGTGATCAATTTATGAGAGGGACACCTGTGCTCAGAATGGTCTACGAAGACTTGAAAGGTCCTTGACAGCGTTTTGTAGCTGTGCCTCATCTCAGATGTTCACATCGGTAAAGAAATCTGTTCTATTTCATCATCAAAAGGCTAAATAACAGTCAACAGCTGTATTTCTTCCAGTATCTCAGTGCCATCCTCCTATGGGCACTAGTGGGATAGCTTTCCTAACTCTATACACATAGTTCTAGCTTTGTATTTTAACCAGGACTCCACACTTTACAATGGTGTTTGTCTATCTCAAGAGACTATGCATTGCCATTGATGTGCTTCAGTACTTGTATTGCTTGGGCTACATTGTGGTGGGGAGAAAAAAGTTCTCATTGAGCAGGAAGGCTTCCTCCAGCTTGAAGCACTGGATACTGAAAATGTGTGTGTCCACTTTCTTCCTTAATGGTTAGAAAGACTTACTGCCAGCAGTACCCGATTCCCCAGTGACCTGATGGACCGCTCTGAATTTCCTTTTCCAAGGGCTATCCTCCTGAGAGAAGTTTGTCATAACATAGACATGTTCCAGCTGTTCTTCTTTTGGAGCAGTTTGATAGCCTGTGAATAACACATGATAGTGCTCCTTTGGAGAGATGAGACTCTCATGTATTAGGATTGGTTTCTTTGTTTGCTTTCTAATTACCAGTGGGATCTGCTATCAATGTAAATTTGCACTTAACAAGTTGCCTTGCGTAAAAAAGTTCATTTCACTAGTTCTGTGTCTCCGTGGGTGCTTGGTACCACGTACAGCTGTATGTGTAAAGCACTGTGCAGAGCAGCAAACTCTTCCACCTTCCGTTGCTTCACTGCTTCTACAAATCTCTGTTGCAGATTTCTCTGTTGCTGTGTGTTCTGCTTAGACTAGCTCCTCTACCCTGGTCACGCATCAGTACACACATGCATAGGTATTGCATAAATGCACCTGGACTTTAATGAAGATTCAGAAAAGCACAAAAAGTTTGGGCTGACAAGCACATTTACCACATGAAAAAGACAGAAACTTCAGCCCTTTCTGCAGAGGAAATGATTTGCTACCTGCCTGCTTTGCTCATATCTGCTCAGATTCTCTCCTTCCCAAATGCAACCCTTGCAGGCAAAGTCCTGTCAGTTTAAATCTACTGTATCAGAGAAGCATTTGGCATCCTGGGACTTTTTATCAGGACAGGGCTTGTTCTTACTGCTTATGAACTCCAGAGGTATTTCCTTCTTATGGAGCGAAATTCACAAGTCATATAAAAGAGCCTGAATACATCCTTAGAGTTTGGTCTCCTGGAAATCAGCAATTCAAACTTTTCTTTATATGTGCTGCTAAAATAACGTAGAGAGAAGTTTGGGAAGTAGAGGGAATTCATTGTGTTTTGAGTCCATTGAGTCCACTCAGCAGCATTACTCTACTGCATCACGACATATCTGGAGTGAGCATCACCCGCTGTGAATTTCATGCTAAAATTTAATGAAGATTTTGATGTTTGGTTAAATGCATTTAGATACAGCACTTCCATTCCTCTGCAATGTAATCTCCAGAAAATCTGAACCAGCCACATGCTGATTATCTGTCTGACCAGTTTTAGTATAAAACTGAATCAGAACGTAGATCTCTGTTCTTGATTCTTTTGAATCTCACAGTCACAGATTTATCTGTGCATTTGTATGCTGCATAAACACTTTGGCTGGCTAATCTCCTGCACAATCTACAATGTAGGGCAATCTACAAAACAAAAAGCCTGCTGCTGTCCCTTGTGACCCCGACACTGTAAGAACGGATCATCATTTGGAAATTCTTTAAGAGTAGAAATTGGCAGCTGGACCAGTATGCAAGCTCGGACCAGGCAGGCAAAAAAAAAAACAATAATAAAGTTGGATTCCAAAAGAGATCCTAAGGTAAACTCACAGGACTGGTAATGAGAGGTCTTGCATTTTACTTTGAGTTAAACAGTTTCACAACTGCTCCCATTGTTCAGAAGGAATAAACAGTTTAATCTTACTGTGTCTGTAACTTCTTTGTAAAATAGGGATGGAAATCACTTCCCAAATGATGTCTGTGAAAGTTTACTGTGGGCCCCAAGATTCTTGGAGAAGCGTTGTAGGGGAAGGGCTCGCTTCAGTGATACTCACTTTACAGAAACTTTCTTTGTGAGTAATCACAGAATCATAGAATCGTTTGAGACGGTAGGGACCATTAAAGTTCATTTAGTCTGCCCCCCCTGCATTGAATAAGGACACCTTCTGCTAGACCAGGTTGCTCAGAGCCCTGTTCAGCCTGACCTTGAATGTCTCCAGGGATGGAGAGTCCACCATCTCTCTGGGCAGCCTGTTCCAGTGCCTCACTACCTCTGTTGTAAAAATCATCATTCATTTACTGGCAGCTCGTGGTGTAATCAGTTCAATTGAGTCCACTGAGACAAAATGTTGAGAAATGTCAATCTTTTGTTGTTTCTGAGATGAATTAATAACATCTCACGTGTTCCTGAAGTCGGCAAAAACACCCTTTCTCAAAAAACATCCGGCTACGCTGACTACTCCACATTGTTTCTATTGCTCAGCCTGTCAATGGCACAGAGCTGTCTGCCTTTTACATATCCTAGCTCCCTTTAACTGGTAAACACTTGGAAAAATTACATGCAAAGAAGGGCAGACTGATCTGGTGGGTGGCAACCCTGCCCGTGGCAGAGGGTTGGAACCGGATGGGCTTTAAGGTCCCTTCCAAGCTAAGTCATCCTATGATTCCGTGATTCTGTGCTGCGCTGGGTGCAGCGGCGGCTGTGCTGGGAAGGCTGGGCAATGGCACGAGCCCTCTGGCAGCAACAAATTAGGTCCCAGAGTGGTCCTAATTCACCCAACCCAACTACTCTGCCGTGGGGCAGGACTGCAGGTCGTGCCCATCTCCTCCATGAGGCTGAACGACCTGCACAGCCTGGCCTTGAGCACACCCTGGAATCGGGCATTTGTGGCTTCCCTGGAGATCTGTCCCAGCGCCTCCCCACCCTCACGGCGAGGCACTTCTCCCCTGCAAGCACGAAGCTTTCTGATCGCAGGAAGCTGCCACGACAACTGAGGGGGAAAAAGTCCCGCACATCACGTATAATTTACAGCTGGCAACTACACTGTAAGCCTTCAGCCGCGCTCCCCCTCGCTGATGGCGGGGCAGGGCTCCGGTGCCGTTGCGTGCCACGCGCCGGCCGGCGGGTGCCAGAGATCACTCAGCACCGCTCTCTCTTTCGCCCGCAGCCCGCGCTCCCCCGCCGCCGCGGCCGCCCTGACTCAAAGCGCCACCGCCGCCGCGTGTGCTTCGCACGCGAGGCCGCTGCAGCTCCTGGGCCTGCGCTCGGCCCCGGCGCGCTCATACCCTCGGCGGAGCGGGGCGGCGGCGGGAGCGGCCCGGCCGGCCAGGTAGGGCTGGGGGGGGGGGGTCGGACGGGCGGCGGCTGCGCTTTGTTGATGTATAGGGTGCTGGGTTTTGGAAAGCTGCGACGGGGGTGGTCCGGGATGCGCGTCCGCAAATCCTCGCTTGATGGACTGAATGGAGGGGAGCTGTTGCCCGGGTGGTGCTGGGTGGGGTGGCCGCTTCCGTGCCCCGCCGAATGTCGGTTTTTCGCCTTGCGCTCTCCTGCCTATGGGCGTGTGTGGAGGTAGGGCGGGAGAGCCTCTTGCTGGGCGGTGAGGGATGCGCAGCGCCCTGTGGTCTGACGGGTGCCGTCCCACCCTGCAGAATCCCGCTTTACACCTAGGTTTTGGGGGACGTGGGGCTAGGTGGCTTTAAAAAAGCTTAGGTGCTGAAATAGGCTGTCCAGAGAAGCTGTGGGTGCCCCGTCCCTGGAGGCGTACAAGGCCAGGTTAGATGGGGCCTGAGCTAGTAGCTGGCAGCCCTGCCCATAGCAGGGGATTGCTTTGAGGTCCCCTGCAACCCAACCATTCCGTGATTCTACAATTATAAAAAGCACTTCTGGTTTTGCTACTTTAAACTTAGAAAATTACAGTGTTAGCAGCTGGAAGTGCAAACTAACCGCATTACAATCAGAAAATCAGAAAATGGAGGGACCCACAAAGATCACTGAGTCCTACGGAAATAGACTGCTTGATGGCAGCTCTGTTCAGACTGGCTTCATAACGTGTCCTGGCACCACACACACCATCACAGCACCAAGGCTGGCAACATCTCACAGAAGCTGCTCCGGATGCGTCTCTGAAAATGATTCTGTAGAGAACTTCTTGTCAACTTTAAGCAGCACCGACTACAGCAGCATAAACACAAACTAGTGTAGCTGTGGTGTGCATCAGCCAAGA